TACGATTAATTGAAGAGAATCTTTATGAAAATAAAGTCATAGGAATCTTTATAAATAAACAGTTATAAATTTATAATTTTAATAATATTTTATTGATATTACAGATAAAAATTTTGTTTCTCGAGTATTAGAAAATATTTTAAAAAGTGTCAAAAAGTCTTCATCATCCGAAGATGATGAACTTTGGCAATAATTCTCAATAAAGTTTGTAATATTTTGTATACTAATTACAATTGTAGTTAATTTTTCCATTTTAATGTCACTTTTATTCCTTTTTAAATAGATTATATTGCTCTAACTTCTTTGTCTCTTTTTCTAGTGCTTTTTCTACTGCAAATACGTTCCGATTTTCATTGCTGCCACAGTCTACTGACAATTTCGGAACGATTGAAATACGTTGATTTCAGCAGCAGTATTGTCAGTACTTTCAGCGCATTTCGGAAGACACCTGTAATATCACCTAACGCGTAGCGGAAATCTTCACGCATTTCAAAGTCTCAGCATACTTTGCGCATGCGCACTGCAATTATAAAATAGACTTATTTTGCACGTAATTAAAAAATTTATCAATTCACAAACGTAACATTGATATATTTGTAAATCACAAACGATTTCCTGTCGATTACAGCTATCAGTTATCATAAAATTTGTTTATTACTAAAAAGTATTGGCTGACATCATGACTAAACTAAAATTGTTAATTACAAACAACCTAATTTGTCACAAACGTTAAAAACAGACTCACAATCAATCACAATTAATTTACAAATGAAAAAAGTTAAAAATAATCATATGTAATAATTTCTGCCGGCTAGTTTCATGTAGATCGCTCGTTTGCAGACGGGTGATGTTTCCAAACGCAGCCTTAAGCCCGTATCAGACTATGCATTAAAGATTGAGATTCAAGATTCAAGATTAAAATTTGACCAATCAGAACAAAGAAATTTTAATCCTTTTTGTTCTGATTAGTCAAATTCCAATCTTTAATCTTCAATCTTCAATTTTTAAGGCGTAGTCTAAAGCCCGTATCAGACTATGCATTGAAAATTGAAGATTGAAGATTAAAGTTTGGAATCTGACTAATCAGAATAAAAGGGATTAAAATTTCTTTATCTTGATTGGTCAAATTTCAATCTTGAATCTTGAATCTCAATCTTCAATGCGTAGTCTGATACGGGCTTAATACGGGCTTTAAACCGTTCATTCGAAAACGCTATAATTCGGAGTTTTCTTCTAGGGACTCTAATTCAGAGTTTACTTCTAGGGACTCTAATTCAGAGTTTGTCCATCGCTCCTGCCGATCCTAAAGTTGGCAATCCTGAATTATATTATTTCACACGTGCTTCACACATTTTATATTTTGCATTACACAAATAATTTTATAATAAACAAAACAAAAATGGAAGAACAAAAAAAACGAGTAGAAGATCATATGACGAAAATGGTCGAAGAAATTGATAAGACTTATTTACGAAAAATGCAGGTATTTTTATCGATCATAGTGATAAAAAAAAGAATGTTTTTATAATATAAAAGATATATTTATTAAATATATACAAATTTATTAATTATATACAGAGAGATAATTATATACAAAATTATATACAGAATTATATATAGAATTATATACAGAACTATATACAGGATAATATACAGAATGCAAACTTTTTTTTACCAAATTTAATGAAATTTTACTTGAAAAATTTGTTTTAAAATGTAGAATGAAAATTATCGCTGGCTATTATATGAAAAAAAAGTAATAAGCTGTTAAAAATATTTTTCAAGGTTAGGGAGTGTGTTTTATATTAATCAAATGAATATGTTCCAATTCGTAATATAGTTACTTTATTCATAACTCATTTAATCAAATAATTTATATATTTGGACGAATTTTTTATATGTGAATTTGAGAAATCTTATATTCACATATATATTATGAACTTCACAGTCATAGAAGTTCTTTGCTTTGCGAAAATATAAAAAATCTATGTCATTTGGAGTTAAAAGATATTCTTTTCTTATTTTACGGTGTGATGGGTTTAAAATATACTCAAATTGTAAACAAAGAGAAATAATATTTTATGGAATTATATAACATAGTGATCTATTCTTTTTTGACAGTAGTAATTTCAATTATCATTTGTGGCAATTTCAATTATCATTTTCATATTTCACTCATAAATATGCAATAATAATATGTTTCTTCAAAATTGAAAATAAGAAAATTTATATTTTTTTCATGTTTACTTAATATTGAAAAAATAATAATTAATTAATAATTCTTAACTCTCCTTAGTTTGTGTTTTACATATTGTACATATAAGCATAAATTACATTTGATTTCAGGGAGATATGCATAAGTGTGCTGCACAATGTTGCGATAATGAAACATATAGCATACAAAAGATTCATAGATGTGTAGAGAATTGTAGCTCTTCTTTGAATAAAGCACAACAATATGTTCAAGGAGAGTTTGAACGAGTACAGGTAATAAAATTTAACTTATTTAATTGCCAGAATTATCTGATGATTTAAGCTGCGATTTCATAGCACATGATTTATATATATAAACCATGTACTATCAAATCCCAACTTAAATCATATACATATATATATATATATATATATATATATATATATATATATGTACATGCATACATAAAATAAATACACACATACGCATGCACACACACACACACGCATATGGCACGCTGTTTTACTTTTTAATAGCATAAAAAATATTCTATTTAATATAAAAATTTCAAAAAATAATTATCTTAAGAAAAATTCTAATTTAATTTAATTTATATTATTATTATTGTGTCCTGACATAATAATAATCCAATAAATTACATTTATGTTCTAATATAATAATTGGATGAATTAAAATTATATCGCAAAATAATACTAATTCCATGAATTAAAATTATGTCTGGACATAAAAATAATTCCGAATTTTTATTATGTCCCGACATAATTTTAATTCATCAAATTATTATTATGTTACTTAAAATGTTTGCTATTAAAAAGTAAAACGGCGTACCATAAACCAATGCTGCCAATATTGTAAAATAAAAAATCACCAGCTACTGAATTAAAATTATGTCGCCATATAATAATAATTCTAAGAATTAAAATTATGTCGGGATATAATAAAAATTCGGAATTATTTTTATATCCAGACAATTTTAATTCATCCAATTATTATTATGACGCGATATAATTTTAATTTATCCAATTATTATATCCCAGTATAATTTTATTTTCATAAATTAATATTTATATAATCCTTCATAAATCTTGAATAATAAAAGTGAAATAAAAAAATTATTTAAATTTATATCGAATGTAAATTTTATCCTAAAAGCATAGACGAAGATAGGAGTTTTAGGGCATTATTATTATATGCTGATATAAATATAATTCATTTCTATTATATACTGACAAAATATTTTAATTTTGTAAATAAAATATTAAAGATTTGAACACATTTTTTTATACATACATTAAAAATGTACATTGTCAAAATGTTGCAAATAAATCTTATTTTTATATTTTGTAATTTATTGTTGCATTTAAAATATGCAAATTTTTATTAAGATTTGAAGTAATATATGAATTATTTTTTGTTACCATTCAGAGAATTGTTTGTATTGTAAATTATTATGTAAAATTATTTTTATGCAAAAAAGATAATTAATACATTTTTAGATATTTTAATTTAATTTAATTTAATTTTCATTATTCAAGATTTATGAAGGATTATATAAATGTTAATTTATGAAAATGAAATTATATTGGGACATAATAATAATTAGATTAATTAAAAATTATGTCGGGACATAATAAAAATTCGGAATTATTTTTATATCTAGACATAATTTGTCCTGACATAATAAAAATCCAATAAATTAAATTTGTTTTAATATAATAATTGAATGAATTAAAATTATGTCGCGACATAATAATAATTTCATGAATTAAAATTATATTTGGACATAAAAATAATTTCGAATTTTTATTATGTCCCGACATAATTTTAATTTATTATAAGAAACGCAATTTTTCTTAAGACAATTATTTTTTGAAACTTTTATATTGAATGGAATATTTTTTATGCTATTAAAAAGTAAAACGACGTGCCATACCACACACACATTATATTGCTTCCTCATAGAGGAAGCTTTATGTATATATATATGGTGTAATGGAATGCAATGATAATATAAAAGACAAAATGGGACCAAATCCGACACAGATTGAAGTGGATAAGTATAGTGAAGAGTTTGAAAAATGTGCCATTACGTGTGTCGACTCTTATTGTGAATTATTACCCTCTTTAGAAAAGACTATGAAGAAGGTCCTCAGTAAAAACGAATTTGCATAGTTTGTAATTAGAAAATAAATTTTAAACATCTCATTTTATTTTTAACATTCTTAATTGGGAACATTTTTATGTCTAGAAATATAAAAAACATTTGTTTTTTTAGGCACAAAGTAACTATGTGTGTGTGCAATAACTTTTAACTTTATTATTTTCACACACACATAGGAAAAAGTTGCGAATATTATATAATTTATTTATAAATGAAGTGTAAGAAAAGAAAAACTTACCTCACAAAAAGTATGATTAATTAGATTATCTGACTTTTATTTTTCCTTTCTTTTTTTTTATTTTTTTCTCTGCATTTATTTTCTTTCTTTCTTTTTTTATCATTATTTTCGCTTACATTTTTTATACAGTTGATGAAGAACTAATTTTGATTAAGTAAAATATAGAGATAATATTATAATATATCAATAATATCAAAAAATTATTTTTTTCAGCAATTCTAGTTATTAAATATGCTTAATGCTACATATAGATTGGTGGTCTTTGTTGATAAAAGTATGCAATAAAAATGTTATGGAAAATTTAATATATATTGTGTGTTTGTGTTTAAATAAATGCATAAAAGTAATGTACGGTAAGTAATGGTATACAAATAATGTATTTACACAAAGGCTGCGTTCCGATATTCACTGTCAGTACTGAAAATCTATAGTGTATGTGAGCTCTATAAAGTTAGCCGATCAACATCCACTTTCATAACTTTCTTTTTATGAATCGTTTGTTAGTCATTGATTGTTGGCCTAATTACAACTTTCATTAGATATTATTTTTGTTTCAAAACTAGTTCAATCGATGCGCAATCGTTTATTGATCACGGAAAAATTAAAAACGTTTGTTGGTTCATTATTTATCTTAAGAAACGAAAAAAACTAATGCCTCCTCCGATGGAGGAGGGAGGGGGATGGAACCGTTTGGAGTATTTCGTGTGACGATGCCGTAACATATACATAAAATTTTAAGTGCGGAAGCATACAATACAATTATTAATTATTTACCGACAACATACAATATGAAAAACAGGTATGCAACAAAAAATTATTCTAGGAATTTTCTACATTGCCTACTGCATATACGAGAGATATTCTAACCTCGTATATTACTATCTTAATATCTTATCATGTTTCAGTATCAAATATATCTGTAAATTTCGAGATTTTGCTCATTCTACGAAGTGACATTGAGTAAGTATTCTTTGCTAATATGAAAGAGGTTGGGTACTTTAGCAATGTGGGACAAGTTCTTAGATATATGTAATAAGACACATTTAAAAACGAATAAGTTTTGTTATATCTTTATAATACAAGAGTATGTATATGCAACATAAGCCTAATAATTTTCAAGAAATTAATCAATCTCTTTTATTTACAGTGGGATCTTTGCGCTAGAAATAGTGTATTTGTATCTACGCAACATATACCAGTGCTGGGATAACTATTGTGCAACTACAATATGAAATAATATGTTTAAGTATTGTGGGTTTATTCAACCTAAAGGAAGACTGTGAGAATTGTAATGATGGCAATTATACTGGTAAGATTGCTGTACAAATGATCTCATGCCTATTAACATTATATCATGTTTATTTTGATTTTAAGCAGATGAAAGTAATAGATAAATACTAATTCGCAAACCAATGGATTGCATCCAGCTTGCATCGATTGTCAAGAACCCATTTACAAAGCATAAGAATCTTTTAAGCGAGAGTTAAATATTATAGTCTCTGCTAATAGAATCTTGTGATCTGTAATGGAATGATCAACGCTCATTCATTAACTTGCAATGTCTGTTGAAGCAATAATGATTTCATATTGTCGATATGTTAAAAGATTGAGTATACATTTGTATTGCTATTAGTGAATACATCAGAGAAGATTGTGCTTTAATATATCATACTCAAATGTTGCATATTATATTATTTGCATCACTAGAAAAATCGTATATTTTGTTTTTAACCGATTTATCAACTTTACAATTACATTGGATTGTATATATGAACATACTATTTTTTTTTAAATAATCCTGTATCAATATGATAATCATATTTGTAATAATTATACTTGAAGATTTATATTTATATCCTGTCTTACATAATGAATCTACATATATTCAAATATGGTATTAGAATAGATATATTTATATATTTGTATATTTGTATAATGGTGTTTTTCATATGGTATTAAATTTTCATATGATATTACATATGTCAAGGCATTGTACCATATGGAATCTTTTCATATGATACATATATGACATACATGAGATACTTGACATACATGAGAAACTTGACATACATGAGATTTTAAATACAAAAGACAATTCTTAATTGTTTACGGACAGCATACGAAATACACTGATATACAAATATATAAATATGTATACCTATTCTAATACCATATTTGAACATATGTATATGCATTAAGTGAGACAGTACATAAATATAAAAACCTTCAAATATTATTATTATAAATACATAATTATCATATTAAAACAGGGTTATTTCTCTGAAAGGATTATTTATCTGAAACATAATGTGTTTATATATACACTTCCCAGCAAACATATATTATAACAGTTATATAACACTGGAGTAAAAAATTAAAATAAGAGCTGTTATATCTTTATTGTATAATTGTTATATACCATCTGTTTACTGTTGCTATATAATATACCAGCAAACACATATTATAAGTTATATAACATTAGAATAAAAAATTAAAATAACAGCTGTTATATATTTATTATAAAACTATTATATATCATTTGGGGGTGATTACGATAATTACGGCCCCCTTTATTTTTTTACTATTTTTCCCGTGTTCCTCGTCAAGAATGTCTTTAGAAACGACCTTTCAAATAGGGGGCCATAGTTATCATAACCGTGCCATCATCTGTTTACTATTGTTATATAATATATGTTAAAATAGTCATACTTGTGTAATATAATATTTATATATTATAAAATTTTGAATCATAAATGTATGAACAGTTTTTGCAATAAAGCCTCGAATTTCGGAAAAAACGGCGGAAGCAAAGTTGTACACCTAATATAACAAAAATAGTATTCTGCCGGTAGTTCGTTTGTTTATCGCTATGCGACGCGCGATGCGCATTATCTCGTATTTGAGTTTTAGTCATGAGAATTATATAAAGCTTGCAAAGATCAATTGGCAGGAGATATAAAATGTAATTATTTCGATCAGTTCAATTTTTGATGCAATCCCAACATAGGGAATTCAGATATTGGACTGATCGTTTAGAAATCGGGCAGATAAATGACCGAAAAAGTCAAAATTATCCGTTCATTGTTTATTTAAGATTAAAATAGAGTTGTAATAAAATTATATATTAATCATGTAAATAAAATTTTGTATTTTGCAAATTAAATTATTTAAATTAAATTATTTTATTATTTATTTAATTATGTTACCAAGTGTTTCTGTCATATAATAAGTGTGTATATATATATAATATATGTATATACTGCGACGACTTTTCCTACCGTCTCGCGGCTGAGCGATAAACGCGGCCGCCGACTCGTTCTCTCCGTCGCGCGGGTGTAAATTGAGCCGACGAACAGGGGCTAATTCGCCGAACGGGAGATGCGGAATGGTCGTTGACAAAAACGGGAAAACGGAGAAAAAGATCCACGCGCCAGGTGGGAACGGGATGTTAGGAGTTCCGCGCGTACCGTAACGAGATCCGAGAGATAATCGCGAGAATCAAACTTGGGCGCCAGATACGATCTTTCACGTATCAATTCGCGAAACACGAAATAAGCGCGAAATAAACGCGAAAGAAATTGCCGGAATTCGCCACGGACTGACTAGGCAGAATTGATGCTCGGCACACACACGCACGCAATTCATGCAAGAATCGCGAGAAAATTCTCACCAAAGCGCGCTCACAATTTCGAGACGCGGTGCTTTACAACCGACATAATACGTTGAATTTATGCGATTCACACTCTCACGTAACCCATATAATAATCGCGAAGGAAAGTTGCACCGGACGTGCACGCAAATTTTATACGCGAAGTTTCACAAACGAAAGATAAAAATAATATAACAAATTGACGCGAATCACACTCACACTCAAACGACCGACATACATCACAAACAAGATTTAAACGCTAGACGTGCGAAAACCAACGCAAATATAATCTACGGAATCCGAATCTCCAGAGAGACGACACACGGTTTATTAAAAACGCGAGGTAATGTCTCGATCCGCGGAAACCGATACTTTCGAGGCTCCGGGGCTCGAATCGCTTGACGACGGGGCCGTGACGCGAAAATCTACACCAAAGAATCGGGCTTAGCCCGTACACCAAAGTACGAATTCACGGCGACGACGACAGAAAGAAACGATTCCGGGCGCGATCGCGAGTGGCGAATATGGCGGAAGATAACCTCACCGGTACTTTTCCTCTCGAGGTGGTTACACGGGGTCAGCGACGTTGACGTCCTCTCCCTCGGGTCCGTCCTTCGCAGCTCCGATCGCCGGGATCCTCTCCGCTCGCTCTCGTCTCGTTATCGCTCTCGTCTTTCAAGATCGCTTCTATCTCGCACGCAAGCTCACGCCAGTCTCCTCCTGGATCGTCGCGATCCAGAATCGATACCTGTGGGCCAGCCGGGGCTGCGCACACAGGATGCGTATTATCGCGACCAATCACGCGTTATCACGCGCTGTGGCCGGCGGGCGGCGCGCTCACGGTCGTAACGGGGGTGCGCGCGCCCCCGGTATTACAAACAATAATTCGCTGGGGCTCTTTTCGCGGGGCCGTCGCGGGGTCTGAGGTGAACGGTTTGGCCGGAAGTATCGCTGCCACCCTTCCTTCCGTCTTTTCCGGGACCGCGTCACGCCATCGGGTGCAGAATTGCAGTCCCTCCTCGGGGACCGGATCCGCACGGGCCTGTCTCCTTGCGCGAGGATCCCCTCGCTGTCCCGTGCGTTGCGCATCACGTGTGCGGGTCCTGATCCCGTCGTGACGTAGCTAGTTTGGCCGTTAGATGTTTTGGATTTCCAAATTGCTGGCTCCTTGCCCCTCCAAGGTCTTCCTTGATTGGCGATCATATTTTCCGTGACGCGACTTTCCGCTTCTTCCGATGAGGCTCCCAAATGAATTATTCATACGAAAGAAAATCATAAACGAAATTAATATTACGCTCGAAATCTCCTCAAATGACGCCTCTCTGGAGGTAACGGTACGGTTCTCGCAATGATTCGACTGGCGCGGCCCTTCAGCCCGCGCTTTTCGATCGGAGAGGGACTCGGCGGACGCGCGCGAGACGGCAACGTCACAAAGTTTATTGATCCCTAATGGGGTTACAATCTTTACAATCCCTTAACCTATTCCTTAATCTAATACATTATGTACATGCTTCGCCCTATCATCGCCCTTTCCGTCATTCTCTCTTTCTCTCTCCGCTTTATTCTCCTACTGCTTTATCTCTAACTTACATACTACTTACGTCTATCTTACGCTAAACCTTATCTCTACTGGACCCCCGCTTCCGCTGTTCTTCCTT